TTACAGATTATATCAGTAAGGAAGCTGACTAAATATTAACTGATAACTTATGGCAAAGGGGTGGGATTAAATAAGTGTGTACTTCTTCCCACTCCCTTTCAACATGTAAATGAACCAGAACAGTAGAAATATTGAAATGTATTGATTTTGTATAGTATTTCTTTTTTTTTTATCTCTTATTTTCTTTACCAAATGTACCTGTATATTGTTTACATGTTTGAAATAAATTAACAAAGAAACAAACAAGCAAACATGAACAACCAGATCATTAATCCTGTGAAATGTGTGCAATATCTGGATAACGTTGGGTTTGGTTTGTTTCGGGCAGGTGAAGAGTTCATCAAGAAATGTCGTTGCAGAAGGTGTCGAGCTCCACAGACGCTGCATCTGTGGTTCAGGGCTTGGATCTTGTGGTCGAGGCCGTTGCTGAAAACCTAAAGATCAAGCTTTAGATCTTTCATCATAAACTCTCTCTCGGTTCTTTTTGCTGTTGTAAGCTTCGGCTCTATTGAACACATAAGATATATGGACTGTTGCAAAGCTGCAGATGGGCCTGTTTTTGTAATTATCTATCTATCTATCTATCTATCTATCTATCTATCTATCTATCTATCTATCTATCTATCTATCTATCTATCTATCTATCTACCTACCTACCTACCTACCTACCTACCTACCTACAGTGGGGCGAAAAAGTATTTAGTCAGCCACCGATTGTGCAAGTTCCCCCACTTAAAATGATGACAGAGGTCAGTAATTTGCACCAGAGGTACACTTCAACTGTGAGAGACAGAATGTGAAAAAAAAATCCATGAATCCCCATGGTAGGATTTGTAAATAATTTATTTGTAAATTAGGGTGGAAAATAAGTATTTGGTCACCTCAAACAAGGAAAATCTCTGGCTCTCACAGACCTGTAACGTCTTCTGTAAGAAGCTTTTCTGTCCCCCACTCGTTACCTGTATGAATGGCACCTGTTTGAACTCATCATCTGTATAAAAGACACCTGTCCACAGCCTCAAACAGTCAGACTCCAAACTCCGCCATGGCCAAGACCAAAGAGCTTTCGAAGGACACCAGGAAAAGTATTGTAGACCTGCACCAGACTGGGAAGAGTGAATCTACAATAGGCAAGCAGCTTGGTGTGAAAAAATCAACTGTGGGAGCAATCATCAGAAAATGGAAGACATACAAGACCACTGATAATCTCCCTCGATCTGGGGCTCCACGCAAGATCTCATCCCGTGGGGTCAAAATGATCATGAGAACGGTGAGCAAAGATCCCAGAACCACACGGGGGGACCTGGTGAATGACCTGCAGAGAGCTGGGACCAAAGTAACAAAGGTCACCATCAGTAACACACTACAACGGCAGGGAATCAAATCCCGCAGTGCCAGACGTGTTCCGCTGCTGAAGCCAGTGCATGTCCAGGCCCGTCTGAAGTTTGCCAGAGAGCACATGGATGATACAGCAGAGGATTGGGAGAATGTCATGTGGTCAGATGAAACCAAAGTAGAACTTTTTGGTATAAACTCAACTCGTCGTGTTTGGAGGAAGAAGAATACTGAGTTGCATCCCAAGAACACCATACCTACTGTGAAGCATGGGGATGGAAACATCATGCTATGGGGCTGTTTTTCTGCCAAGGGGACAGGACGACTGATCCGTGTTAAGGACAGAATGAATGGGGCCATGTATCGTGAGATTTTGAGCCAAAACCTCCTTCCATCAGTGAGAACTTTGAAGATGAAACGAGGCTGGGTCTTCCAACATGACTGATCCAAAACACACCGCCCGGGCAACAAAGGAGTGGCTCCGTAAGAAGCATTTGAAAGTCCTGGAGTGGCCTAGCCAGTCTCCAGACCTCAACCCCATAGAAAATCTGTGGCGGGAGTTGAAAGTCCGTGTTGCTCGGCGACAGCCCCAAAACATGGTAAATGGTAAATGGCCTGCATTTGTATAGCGCTTTTCTAGTCCATAGGACCCCAAAGCGCTTTACACTACATTCAGTCATCCACCCATTCACACACACATTCAAAACATCACTGCTCTCGAGAAGATCTGCATGGAGGAATGGGCCAAAATACCAGCTACAGTGTGTGCAAACCTGGTAAAGACCTATAGTAAACGTTTGACCTCTGTTATTGCCAACAAAGGTTATGTTACAAAGTATTGAGTTGTATTTTTGTTATTGACCAAATACTTATTTTCCACCCTGATTTACGAATAAATTCTTTACAAATCCTACTATGTGGATTCATGGTTTTTCTTATTTTTTTTTTCACATTCTGTCTCTCACAGTTGAAGTGTACCTCTGGTGCAAATTACTGACCTCTGTCATCATTTTAAGTGGGGGAACTTGCACAATCGGTGGCTGACTAAATACTTTTTTGCCTGGATGGATGGATGGATGGAAAAAAAACACAATAACCCAAGAATCTCATTTTTTAGGTATACTCTTTCAGTTCTAGGAGGCAGGAATGTGTTGCATGCCATCCGTTGGAAAAAAAGTGCAACACAGACCGATGACTCTGTGTCTGTGTGTTAGACGAAGTGTTACCTACAATTTACTAGCTGGGCTTACATCCTCATTTTAAGTTTGACAGGGTTTCAGTAGGTAAAGGTAAATGCTTGGACAAGAATTGAGCTGCAGTTTGGGGAAGGCCTCGAAGGGGGCTGGCAGATCCCCCTGTACTAAATAGGAGTGAAGAAGTTAAAGTAGGGATGCACCGATACTGGTATCGGGTATCGGGGCCGATACTGTAAAATGTGTGTGTACTCATACTCGTAAAAGTTAACCGATACCATGAACCGATACTAACTTATTTCATTAATTAGAGGGTGGCTTGTCATTTCTGTTGCAGTTTTTTAGATTGGCCACTAGGGGAACATCCCACGCTAAACAGGCACAGGGTTAGGCGAGTGAGACTGGTGGCTCCAGATAAAAAAGAGAAACTGGAGGCTGCTGTAGCAAGGCTAAACAAAATGTCAGCAGTGTGGACCGGAACAGCCAACTTTAACTCAGGTTTTGGAAAAGCGATGAAAAATGTCAAGAGAAAATCCACGGGCAGTTAAAATAACAGAGGCTCTGACCCATTTTATCGCTCTGGATGACCAGCCAATGCCAGTCGTGGAAAATCAGGGAGATAATGGTGCCAAAACTTTCTGAAGAGGTAAAGACAAGCAGTGTGGTCATTTTTATTAAGATTTTATTTTTTTATCGGCAGATAATGAAATAAAACCTGTCTTCCAATTCATTGCATTTGTGTGTGTGTGTGTGTGTGTGTGTGTGTGTGTGTGTGTGTGTGTGGTAGAAGTATCGGTTTTTGTACTCTCTATCGGCAAGTACTCAGATCCAAGTATCGGTATCGTATCGGTTTGAAAAAATTGGTATCGTTGCATCCCTAAGTTAAAGAATTGAGAACAAGGAGGGACAGAGGGTGGGGCACGTAAATGAGAATGAACAGCTTGCAGAACTGAGGGAACCTATATAGATTACAACCGGAAGGAGCGTGCTTGGAGGCGTGGTCCCACTCCTGAAATTCCGATACATAATCTCCAATAGTTAAAAGACATGATCATAAAGTGTAACTTTGGACCGTTACTATTTTAGTTCTGGCTACTTGCAAGTGCACTTCTGTGATTCTTTTGTTTTTTCCCCACTGTCTTAAAAGTTTTACAGACCGCAATCATCAACTTGCATGGCCTTTATGTTGATGACATAAAAGGACACTCAAAAAAAGTTGCCTCATGGCTCTTTACACTGTAGGGTACGGACTCTAGAATATTAGAAAAAGAGCCCTAAGACTTAGAAAATCCCCTACGAGCTAGCACTAGGTCACGTCAAAGGAAGAAATCCATATCTAGTATAATTTAGTGCATGAGGGGGAAATGAAGAAGAGCTTAAGAGAGAAAAGACAAAAGTTAGAGATGTGTAGTAATGGTAATGAAGGCTCTCATTCTGTTTTTGGAAACACCAGGAACCACAATGTAAGCCTGCAGTCTGAGAGTGAAGCACTCTATCTGGATAATTTGATACTGTGAGGTCTTTAAGGTGTGATAGGGTCGGATCATTGAAGATCTTCTCCATGACCTCAAAACACCTGGAAAATGCAGATATTTTGTAATTGGGGTTGAGGGTTTTGGTTTTCTGTTTTGGTTTTCTCCACTTCATTCAAGACACTTCATTCACAACTAGCGCTATATTGGAAAGTCTGTGTGATATTGGAAAGAATCCAGGCAAGAATATTAGTGCTGCAGATAACATCACAGGGAACTCACTTGCTTCACAGTAGCACAATTAATTCTTGTATCTTTCTTTTTTAAATTTAAACCCATTAACCATTTGATACCATTCTCCTCGCTGGTTACCCAGCTCACAGCTACGGCTCTCGAAAATCTTGTTGTTTATGTGGTTCAGGATTTAAAGGTTGTTTATGATTCAGAAGGTCGGTGATTCGATCGCCACCTCCTTAGTTTGTTGCAGAGTCCTTGGGAAAGATGCTGGGGAGTTGCTCTAAAAAGCAGCTTTCTGCCAGTGCAGGGGATCTGACAGATATTCCAGGATGGCGAAATGATTTGTGGGTTTGTAGTGCTGATCTCTTAAACTTAAGGCTAGGTTTGCGGCATAAGTTACCATGGAAATTTATCCCACTAACCACCTTCACAACCCTGAAAACCCAGTTAATCCTGAAGTTACCTTGCTAAGCACTTAATTCTCATTCATAGTACAGGCTTTAGGTGAAGGAGAAAGTGAAGGAGCAAATATTGTTAGTTTAGATTAAATCCACTGCAACATTATGCTATCCAATTTGTATCTGGATGTTTGTTTGCCTGTTTGTTTGTTGTTATTTTTTTGCACTTGGAGAACATCACATATGCAAACAAACATATTAGATTTTTAAAAAATTAAAAAGGGATGGGGGGTATGGTTCTTCTAGTGAATTTAAATAATTCACTTGGTAAATAATTCACTCATCATTTAATTGCTTTGCTAAGAAATTTATTAGTGTTTTATAATACAGCAATTCCCATTCATACCTATAAATGTAAGTACAGTGGAACAGAGTGATAACTGTTTTCAAAGGAGAAATAAATGACAGTGTTTTTGCAAGAAATGGTTATCTACAGTGTATTTTAAAAGAATCGAGGCACAAATTATGCTATCAGAATACAAAGTAAATGTTGGTAAATTCGACCAAAACTTGTGGGCTATATTACTGCTCCACCACAACCCAAAGGTGCTCTACTGGATTGAGATCTGGTGACTTCATTGTCATGTTGAAGGAACTAGCTTGAGATGATCTGGCCTATCATCATGTTGGAAATGGCCATCCAAAGATGGCTATACTAACAGTGTCAGCAGCAACACTCAGGGAGACTCTAGAATCGAATAACTTTTCTTCTGTATTTTGATGCTCGGTATGAGCGACAGTAGGGCAACTTGACCGTGTCTACATGGTTAAACGCACTGAGTTGCTGCCATGTGATTGGCAGATTATAAATGTGCAGATCTGCGTTAATAAGCAGTTGAACAGGTGTACCTAACAAAGTGGCCAGTGACAGCTGCCAGACTACACTGGCTACATCTTACACAGTTAACTGTTTTTAGGCTTTTAGTGATTACGTGGGTTTGCTGTCATTCCCTTATTTTTATTATTCACAAATGTATTTTATTGTATTCATGTATTCTGTTATTCACATCTTTTGTTTTAATCTTGTAGCTATGTTTTGAAAAGTACTGTACAAATAAAAGACTACTTTCACATAAAACTGTGGACGTTTTTATCCATTTTAAACTCAAATGAATTGTGAGCACAAAATGAATACTTTGCAGATGCTGTCATAATGCACTTGACACATTCTCAATCTTTTCCATGTCTTGTTAACCCAACACAAACACAAGGTGGTGCTGTTTCACTTGAAATGGTCCTTGATGAGACTGCAGGGTCACAATTCGGTTCTTTGGATTTAAGACATTTCAAATTAATCAAAGGGATCGATTTACTTTAAAAATTAATTTTATCACCATAAGAGTTTTAACTGAAGACTGTTAAATCCGATAACTGTGCAATTTTTACATCTGGAAACTTGTTACTCAACTGTAGTTTTTGTTCTTCTTTAAAGGCTCAGATACTCCAAGATTATATTTTCACAGCAGCACTGCTAGCACTACTACTTTAATATACAGTACTGTTCAAAAGTCTTGTGTCTCATTTCTTTATATTTAGCTTCCAAGAATCTTCTAGCTTGTTTGTTTGTTTGTTTTAAGTGCTCTTGAACAATAGTTCAGGCTTTCTGAAGGTCTTTCAAAGTTTTTCTTTGAACATTGGTTGCGTTTTCAGCCATTTTTGATCCAATCTTTGTACTTGGTCATTTTCGAAGCAATGCTTTTGTTTGTTTGTTAATTGACTTAACACTGACTATTGAGTCATTCAACCATAAATGGCATCTTAAGTCAAGAGAGGTCCCTGTTATAGTTGGCAAATTACCAATTTAAAATACTATTTTTAGGGACTTAAAGCATCTTTTTGTGCTGTTATCAGCAGCTTGCTGGAAAAACACATAATTTGTTACCATTATTTTTAGTCAGATCTACACACACAAAAAAAAAAGGACAAAGTTTGACAAACAAGAAATTGAATTTTTGCACTAACAAGGTGATTTCTTAGCCAGAGAGCTGTTAGCCAAAAACCTGGCATATCACAGCATGGTGTGCAGTGTGTCCTTCAAGGATTTGAGGAAGAACAGAAGAAGTGGCAGGCAGGCAGGCAGGCAGGCAGGCATGCGTGCATGCCTGCAGGCAGGCAGGCATGCAGGCAGGCAGGCATACATACATACATACATACATACATAAATAAAAAACTAGAGCAGATGAACGTCTACTTCCTTAAGAAACAGTTACTGTTACTGTTCACTGAACCCTCTTTAGAAATGGTCTCAGTGGAAGAGCAGCTATTAGGGGAAATGGGAATAAAAGGCTGAGGTGTGCCACATTATAAGGTCAGGAAAAAGGAACAGTTCAGCCAGTACTGAAGTATAAAGATGGCCATGCCACATATGGACTTTCAAGCTTGTTAGAACTGTACAAACTCTGTTTAATTTATATACTACATTTCCATGTTTCTTTGCACAACTTTCAGTAAGTCTCTAGACCTCTTTCCCCATTTTCATATCACAATGCAAAGAAATTAAGGAGTTGTTCAAGACTTTTACACAGCACTGCAATTCTGCATAAATTTAGTCCCAATATTGTTGCTTGTCAGCTTCTTTAAGCCTTTTAATAAGTTTCCTCCAACGCAAAAGCAAAGCGATGTCATGTTTTATCCGTGTCACACCACCGAGTGTCACTGCTGCCTGCGAGTGCTAAAACTGCACGCTCCAATGACGACACACAGAATGTTACATCTGGCACATCTAGCTCTGGTCTTTCCACCACACAAGTGATCAAATGAGCCAATGGTGCCTTTTTATTGTTTTTCTTTAAAAAAACAAAACAAAAAAAAACAAAACATGTTGAAACGGTTCAAATATGACCACTTGGGAAGCAAAGAAAAAAAATGCTATACCAAGATGACAGTGACCTAAAACATGAGACTTTAGAAAAAAAAGGAATTAATCAAGTAATACTAAAAATAGAGCATTAAAATCAAGATGTTACAGAGATGTTTGCATGGAATAAACAACATGGCTAAAGACCACACTATTAGCTACCAGAGAGAAAAGACAAAAAGGTCCATTGCAATAAAAGACAGACTGTCAAGTGCTGGGGTAAATATATATTTCTGCTTCATATGTCATGTTTTAGAACAATAAAATATAGGCCTCTGAGCTGTCACTCTCGCCTTTGTCCTAATGTTGCCTGCAAAAATACCAAGAAAATTGACATAATCCTGACAGTTTAAAAAGTACACATACTGAGCATTATTTTACATCTGAGCAAGACTCGAGGTCACTATTTGTTACAAATAGTTATCAAAAGAAGCCTTAAGTTTCAATTTTCTGCAAGACGCTTCAACAAGAAAAATGGCTTTCCTGTGTCCAAAGCTTATTTTCATATATACCACTATATATATAAAAAACAAAAAACAAAAACCATATTAAACAAAGGGGAAAAATAATCACAGAAATATACACCAAGAAACTGAACAAGGGTTCAGGATACAAATAAAAGGCATTCAAAAATTATATTCAGTCTAAAATGAAAAGCAAATCCAAAATGTTGATCCTTTTTTTGCACCAACTGGTCGTCAGCAACGAACTAGAAATCTTGAGGGCGTTTCTTGGACAAGATGAGATCCCTCCATCTTCCTTAGTGCAGTCTAGAAAGAGGTGTTTGGTCAGTCAGGGATGGAGGGGTGGGGGGTGGTGGCAAACCCCCAAAATGGTCTCTCAAAAAAAAAAAAAAAAACCAACAACAACAACAAAAAAAAAAACAAAACCCAGTGAGAGAAACACAAGGGGCGGGGAAGTAAATTACAGCCTAATGAACTACACAAAGGGGAAAAAGAGGTGGCAAAATAACTTAGAATAACTTAGTAGCAGGTGTTTTGACTGTTACGGGCAGTGCAGAGTGGGGGAGGGGGGCATTTGTGCACACATCACAATTGCTGCTATTTTTCAGTGCAGTGCCACAGATTTGCAGTAAAGCCAACATTGAAAAGGAAAACTGACGAAACAAAAATAAAAAATATATATATTTAAATGAAAATAACCACACAGATGTTAACTCGATGCTTTCAGAGTGAGACGGCACGGTTACGTGAGGGTGCTCCTACTATAATCATGATTGTCTCGGTCAGTTCGGTTCAGTGTCTCTACAGCAGGCGCCTTTAGGGAGGAAGTAGAGTCAAACAGTGATTCTGGTGACGGCGGTGGCATGTGATGGTGGCAAAGGAAAGCGGGTAGGGTTAGGCAGGGTATCGACGGGGGGGTTGTGGGGTGCTGTGGGGGTTTCTCTGAGAACTGGAGGCTTCGGTTTTGGAGATTTAAGGGTCTTCATGGGATCTAACAGGCCTCCATCTCTAGCAGAGGGCCTGAAGCTGCTGCCTTTGCTTTGCATGTGGAGAAACTGTTGCGTTTTCCTCCTAGAAGAAAAGGGAATAAAAGAAATGACTGCATCTGTACACGAAAAAAACCCCCCAAAACTGCTGCATTGTGAACACCACATGCCAAAACATGAGTTATATTCACACTGTTCATCAAAAAGCAGACAAGACAAATAGAGATGACTCAGGGTGACTCCCATGTGTCTCACCATGCAAGCATGCTCCCCTTAGTTCAAGGGGGTGGGAACAAATTATCTGTCATCAGCATCTACATAATCAATCATTTGCTTTCAGTTCGTGGTGTCAAAGCTGGTTGAATGAAACTCTTTGCAGCAGTGTGGAGCCTCTGAGCTACAGAGGCCTTATAGGTCAGTGGCAGGATGTGGGCTGGTCTAGCTTTGATCTCATGTAACGTGGGGGTTGCCTTGACCCAGCTGGCAGTGCTGCGCTCTTCTTTGCTCATTCCTCCTCTCATGCTCCCTCTCTTTCTCTCTCTCTCTCTCTCTCACGCTGGGGTTGAGCGCCCAATTGTGTTTCTTCTGGTTGACATTTATGCTGCCATTGCAGGTGGGCGACGGGAAAACAAGAAAAAGGAAATTCTGGGTCTGTCTGAACACCCACGCTTCTGGTCTTGGGACAACATAAGAGCGCATTCATGGTTCTATAGGTGGTAGACAAGCGTATCCCACATTAGAAAAATGCCAGCAGGTACTATTATTTGATCCCACGCTTGCAGCATATTTGTAATAGCTTCAAAGTGGCATTTATAAGCAAGTGTAGCCTATGACTGACCCCGGTCTACTGTGCCACATCAATCTGTTTTTGACAATAGATGAGGAATCACAGGTTTATGCAGAATACAGTACTTAATACATTACAAGATATCTGTGACTGCAGAAGGATTAGTGTATTATATGGATCACTATTAACTTTTAATGTGTTGCTTCATCTAATTAGCTTCCATCACTGCAAGTCCTTTTGCTACAGTGTGTTTCTTCTACTTTACAGACAGTTAACAGACTCAGAAAGTAGTACCTCCAGTCGCTCAGCTTAAAGAGTGTACTGTGAAGCAAGATTACCAAGTTAGCCAGATACACTGAGCCTAAAGACAGAAGTGGCTCTCTTTAAACCTGGATAAATCACCAAGCTAACTTATGCTAAACACATTACCTGGTCATGAGCAGATCTGAAAATCAGTTGCATCATGTTATTACTGGTTCTTTTATTAACAGCATGTTTTAAGAGTGATGTAGATTCTCTGCTGAGAGAATGTGTTTCATTGTGCGTGCAATTTGTTTAGCCATAACTTACGTAGAAAACACCAAATGATGTCCCAGCTGTAAAGTTACTGGAATTTGCCCGCATAAATGTTAGTTAGTTTCAGATTTGGTTTTTAATTTGGTGCCAGCGCATAAAGTTGCAGAGCTCCAAAAACGAACAGCTGTGATAAAATACATTAACTCGAGTAAATTTGGTTATTTTGGTTGCTCTGTGTGCTATCATCATAATCATCTGATAACATCTCCAATCTGAGTAGGGGACACTCATAAGGATCATTTTGTGGGGGGGAAAAAAAGCATTGCATGGCATGTGGAACGCCCCCTTTTTTATGTGAGCGAGTATAGAGCCCGAAGCAAAGAACTGGGCTTAACAAAGAAAGCTGATAACCACTGCCCTAAAGCCCATCACCTCTTACTGTGGATTTAGGCTTTGTCAAGCCAGCTAATGCAAAGAAAGCCTGACTGTGTTGAATTTTCTTTCAGTATACCCCTCTGTTAGGACAACCTATTAAGAGCACTTGTGTACTTTTAAAGACTATACATATTTAGTGCCCGTGTATTGCTAAAGCTGATATTAATCGACCGACCAGATGACAGTGAAGCTGATGACAGCTTGAATATTTATATTTGTGTCCAATCAAAGTTATAGCAGAACTTTATCACATAATAACAGTAGTCTTATCTTCTCAATGTGAATAATCTTGAACATGGAACACATTTTCCCCAAAGTCACATCTTTAACTGGAGTGTTAGAGAAAAAGCTTTGCCAAAACATAATATCCCCCTCACATCTCCAGTGTGGTGTGTTATTTACTAGTACTAGTAAAAACCAGTCATGTACAATATTTATAATTTCAAAAGCGACAGGATGTACTTATCACCCCAGCTGTGTCCCTATGAGCTCGGGTAAACCTCCACAGGGTCTGCAGTCTTAAGAGGCACGTGAGAACTGTGTCTATCATGTAAACTATGTCGCACAACAGGCACCTGACTCACAGACGCACTATCCTGCACAGGAGACTGCCATAGTTCATGTAGCTATGTTGTTAATTACCCAAACCTGCGTGGTTCAGGCAGAGGTCGACACGAGGGTGTAAAAATGTTGCGCGACTCCACTTCACAAGACCTTCATGAAATCGGCCCCGGTTCCCTGACGAGGGAAAATTGTTTGTCAAGCTGCAAAAGTGTTCTTTTCCCCTCTCGTGATCCAAGCTTGGGCTAACATAACAAAGTTAGCTTCAGTTATTGACAAGCCAAGGAAAGTTATTTTAGACCCAAGCAGCATCAAATAGAATCAGTGATCAAAGTGGAGAGGCATAGACAGAGGTGGATGGATGTCTCCTGTGACTAAAAAGATGGATGTTTTGTGAAGACGGTAGAGAAACGAAAGAGAAACAGTATTAGTTTGCTTCTCCCTCGTGGCAAAGCCGAGAGTGAAGTCAGGCGAGTGCTACTGCTGTTCGCTACATCTTAACACTTAAAACTGTCTTAAGCACACACAAACACACAAACACGCGTCACCACGCTGACTGCTTCACCACATGTGGATAAAAGAGAACGGGACAGAGGCCACCTTTCCCAAAGAGAGCTGACCCGCGAGCGGCACAGGACAGAAACTGAAAGGAACACATGGCTCAGAGAAAAAGAGAGAGCTCCTGTTGCTTTTATTTACCTCCGCCGCCCTCCCTCTTTTCATCCTAGGATCTCAAAGCGGACCCGCACGCCCGGCCCTGCACCCAGTTTCCTGGGGAGCATTTTTCCTTCCCCCCACCGCAGACATGAAAAGCGCTGGCCTTCCTGCCTGGGGAAGAGTCCTGAGGGGTGGCGGGTGAGAAGTGTGTGTCTGCGTGTGTGTGAGTTTTTCAAAAAGAGCTAGTGCTAACAGCAGGGGTGTGTGCTTGCGTGGTGGTGGTTGGTTATAGGGGGCACCAGGCCAGTGTTTCACAAGGTCCAGCCGACACAAACACTTGGATTCAGGAGCAACTTGACCCCTCCTCTCTTCTCGCTTCCCTCCGTCTCCTCCTCCGCCTCCGTCCACATTAGTGCTCAGGAATGTTGGCCGGTCTTTTTTGCAGGAAATGAAACGCTCCTCTGTTCAGAGGGTGAGTGAAGGTTTAGTCTCCCCCCTTTCTCTCTCTCTCACTCTCCCCCAATTCCTTTGCCTCTATGTGAGGGAGGGAGGGAGGGAGGAAGGAGTGGGACGAGCCCTTGCCCGGCTTTTGAAGTGTGGGAGGTTAAGATAACTGGCACGGCCTCGCGCCTCAATCGCCGCTTTCACCTCTCAGGCCGAATCAAAGCACCCGCAGCTGGGACCCACACGCCTTATAGCCCCCTGACCTCCATCCCGTCACCCCACCCACCCCTATTCCCTTCAGCTCCCCTCAATCCCAGCACAAAAGCGCTGGGGTTTCTTTTCAGTACTATTAAGGAGGAAAACATTGCTGAATTGCTAAATTACTCTAAAAATAAGTCAAGTGGAGAGTGCAGACTCTACCATGAGAGGAAAGACCCTGTGGTTGGGAGATGTGTCCACTGATGCTACTGAGCAGGAATCACCTTTTTAGACTTTCCTTGTATTGCTCTCTGACAGGGCAAGAAACAAGTACAGTTGGATGATTTTAGGCTGTAAACAAGCCAGCAGTGCAGGCAGATTACCTAAGCTGCTTTGTTTCTCAGGCCCAGACTTGAGCCTGGTGTGCTGGAGTGTCTCGGCTATGACCTTGGCCTTGTATCGCACAACCAGCTTTGGTGGCAGCTTTTCAAAGAAGCCACAGCTCTATAAAAAGTGTTACAGTGATGCTCTTAACAGCAAAAAAAAATGTTGGAAGAAAGGGGAAAAACAGTAATAGACGGCCCATTAGAAGAAACACCTGGAAGAGATGGCAATGAAAGGAAATATTCATTAAAAAAAAAAGGGGGGGGGTGAAAACATTGGTTTGTATTGGTTCCACAAGCATTATCAGAAACGAACAGTTTAAAAAGAAATATGAGAAGCCAAAAACGTGCCTGTATAAAATATTGGAGCGTGAGGAAGGGTGGGGTCTGGCTGTGGTCAAATGGGGGAATAGGAAGAGGGGGAGTCACCCAAAAGCCCAAACCTCAGGCATGTGTGGGTGAGACTAGGGGGGAGCACAGGAGGGTGTGGGGAGGAGTGGTGAGGTGTTGCCCACATCTGAGGAGGCATTGCTGGGGGTGAAGTCTGGCCGTGTGCCCCCGCACAGCTCAGTCTGAGCCACTGCAAACCGGGGGATGTCAGGGAGGAGGGTGGTGGTGCGGCACATTCAAAGGGCCTGCACAATGACTGTTCCCTCTGCTGTGGTCTCACTTCAAAGGGCCTCCACCGCCACTTATATTCAGCATCAGGACAGAGGAGTGGAGCAGGAAGAGGTGGAGTAGGGCGCAACGAGGCAGCGAAAACGAGTGGAAGAAGAGCTGGGATAGTCGTTTAGCCTCCTTTAATAATAAACACGACTTCCTTTTGACGCTCCGTCCTTTGCCTGCCTGCGCCGTGTTACCTGGGGCGCTTTCATTCTGATAACTCACAGATAAGCATCTCACAAGGGGAGGGTTTTATGGAGGTCACATATTTTTTGCCTCTTCCGAGAGGCTGCAATGCCTCGAGGAGCCCCCGGAGGGGGGATGATGGAGGGGGGGTGGAGGAGAGGAAGAGAGGAAGTAGAGAAGTCATCACAAAAAAGCCATGAGACTGGACCCTCATGCTGTTACCGCAGCTGGCCAAACCACGACACAATAGGCCCGTGACTCAATCAAAACAAATTCCAGGCCCCAGTCTAAACAACAGGAGAACTACAGCTTCATTTATTCCCATGTGGAGCCTTCTACTCCGTCCCCTATCCCACCCCACCCGACCCCCCCAAGAGAAAAGAAAAAGGTGTGAAAGAAGGCTGCCAAGCCAGGATAAGACAACTATGTCAGTGTGAAAGATTTTTTACTTCTGAGCGAAAACCACACACTCAACTGAGGCTTCACATGCTAAGTGCTGAGAGAGTAGTTTTACTTCACAGTGTATGCTTTGTGGAGGGGGGGGGGACATTTCCGATTCCATTTCCTACCTAAAGTAACATTAGCTGGGGCGTCACTCTGATTTAAAATCTCTCCTCCACCTCCTACCCATAACTATCCCCCCACCTTTTTTTTTTTTTTTTGGTACAGTTTTAAAAACATCCTCTGATCTCCCGCGTGCTGCTCAGAGCGAGACCCACAGTCAGTTTCGCAATCCGGATTCCTTCCCCAATTATCCCAGGTCACTAATAAGGCTGGGTGTGGAGGCACTGGGCTGTGCCGCAGTAGCCTAGAGGCTCGCTGCCAAATTGAAATGACTCTGGAAATGGAGGCAGATGCTGAATCTTGCCTAATTGCAGCCTGAGTGTGTGGCTGGCTGCTCAGATTTTGTGCAATGTGTTGAGAGTGATGAGGGTCTGAGAGAGGGAGAAGATGAGAGGCAACAAATAAAGACAGAGGGGAGGGGGGGCAGAAAATGAGGAACGGAGACTGAAGGATGAGTGGCGGTTGACTGAGATTGGGTAAACTCCGAACTCTGGAGAATGGGGTCTGCTGGGGGATTTTCTTCTGGGCCTTTTCTAGCCCTCGCTCTCCCCTAACGCGCTCGCTCCCTCCTCGCTCATCAAAGTCTTTTGACAGCTGACTTCTGGCTGCAGACATCAGAGGGAGCAGAGCTGGGGCACGACCGAGACAGACAAGAGGAGATGAGCGAGAGTGGCCACCAAAGCTTCTGCTTGAACAACACTTTCTTTTATGCTTCTGGAGCAGGGCGTGTGGTTCCAAATGACCTTTGATACACTCTGCAGATGTTCATAATGCATATCCAGGACCACCTGATTTACAAAATAAAAATATACCACCTTGTGCCTAGTTTGTGGCAACTCCCAAACAAACAAAAACTGTGAACTTGTATGCAGCTTCACGGCAACTCTGGGGGTCCTTGTTAGCCAGATTAAAAAGCCACCTTTGTTAGGAGTGTCTCCCCCATGTGAAAAAAATGTGCAGTGGCTGAAACGGGAGAAAGCCTTGGGGGCATGTAGGGGTCTCAGCCAGATAACTATCTCAAAGGCTGTGAATCAGAGGGCTTAGTCAGACAAAAGGCTAACAGCACGAGAGGAAGCAAGATGGACAGAACCAAAATAAAGAGGTGCAGAAACAGCGAAGGGGAGTTTAAAAAAAATGCAAAAAGAGTAATTTCCACTTAGTGTAAAGAAAGGGGTGTGAGGGAAGGAGCGGCGAGAGAGACAGGCAGAAACTCTAATTTCACAATGTCAGACTAATGACTTCTCTAAGAGCCGCTGTACTGTGGTGAGAGCCAGCTGTGTGGTGGACCCACTGTTTGACATGCTAAAGATAACAAAGGGAACCGACATCACGCCATAAAATGCTGCTCTGAGGCTCAACTCCTGGCTTGCCAGGCCTTTAAAAAAGGCCATTTAATATGAAAATGCATAAAGTCAGTGCAGCACGTCACCAGAATATTCTTCATCACAACCGTCCAAATGTTGAACCTCCGTACAATAGAGGTGTTCACAACAGAGTCCCCAAAATTAACTCGTTATCAGATTTCTTTGCAGATTCTGCATAACGGGGGAGAGACAGATGGGTTAGAGGCGCGGACAGATGAAAAGGAATAGACAAACGAGTTCATTTAAAGATGCTTTTTGGCGTCTACAGCAAGCTAACCTCAATCCAGCTCTTTGGGATCTGCATAAATTGAGGGCTTGGGGAGTTGTGGCAGTATCCTTGGTATTATGCATATTAGTTTAAGGCTGTCACTGAGAATCAGCAAGGGTGTCCATCCCGCTGCGGCTAGGCACTGCTAATTATTGGATCAGAGATAAAGTGCTTTTTAGCGCTTGCGCGCTCTGTTCCTTGAAAACTGGCTGTGGTCACCAAAAAAGGAAAGAGACAGAGAAAGAAAAGAAAAGCCCAATTTTGGGTTCGCAGAGCCACTGGGTCAGGAATCGATCAAGTGGAAAACCTTTGTGTGGTTAGGGGTGATTTTGACGTAAGACCAGATTTGTCACATCTGCCCGGCTTTTTCTGCTGCCAAAAGGAAGCGGAATAACAGGATGCTACCAGACTCTCAGGGAGGGAGAGAAGCGACTCAAGGAGACTCAGGAAGATCGAGAGGGGGGAATAGAGTTGCCTTTACCACATACTGGGACTAGTAATCCTCCTCTTAAGAAAAAGAAAAAAAGAAGAAAAAAGGACAGGTGACAATTCAGTGAGGCCTTTCTTGACATTTGGTGTGGATCAATATCTCTCTACGTATTGATAACGTGTTGAAAAAGCAAGGGAGCGAGAGACTACATTGTGCCTTTGTTATGAGAGCATTATAGACACCCTGAAAGCCCAGATACCATGAAATCTTATTAAAGGTATAGCATCTCATTAAGTTCCTGCCAGACAAGCTGCTGGATCCTGCCCTGCTTCACAAAGACGCAGAGAAAGACAACACATGTAGCCCATATGGGGCTGAGCTGATATCCTAGCCTCCACCAGAGCAAAAAAAAAAGTTTCAGATGTATTATTTATGCCATGTTTAGAAAACACTGAGTTCATGAGCTGCATGATTTATTAAGCAATATTTTTAGTTTATTTGGACACTTTTACCCCCGAATAGCATACGAGTTCTCATCCAACCAGCTCACAAAGACACTGAACTGACCAGTACATGCATACGCTTGCATGCAGAAAATTTAATGTATATTGTGTTGAGGCCATTGAGCAAACCACACACACGCACACACAAACCACAATCCCTCTTCAGGCCTTAACACAGCTGACACAATGACTATGGCAAGGTTAGGGTGGACCTTTTTAGGATTAGTCTGTGAGCACATACTCTCTCAAAGTCAGTGTTTAGCAGTTTTTTTTTAAAGAACAAAATGAAGGATAAAGAAAAAGCTTGACATATATCAAACTGGACCAGACAGGGAGGGCATAGAGGTGGGGGGGTTGTCTTACCATATTCTCAGATGTACGCCGTTTTCATTCTCTGGCCTGTACCTGCAGAAAATTGCATCTTTAAAAAAAAAAAAAAAAAGGGTATCCGGACGGCAAAAGATCATAACCGTCCATCTGGCCTATACAGTTGTACAGACCAAAAGGAAGTACTGACATTTTACTTAAGAAGTAATTCTCAGTGGATTACAGTTGCAGTGCTAAGGAAGAGGCTCAGAAGCGCAGCTAAACAAGGTCAGCAGAAAGACACACTGTAGAGCAGCAGGCAAACAAATAATGCAAAGCCCAGAAATCCGTAAGCAGTCGTATAGAATGGACAGACTAATCCCAAAGTAGGTGTAATATGAGAAGACAGGGATAGAGACATATAAATGAAGGGGTGTACACAAGTCAAGTTTGAGGCTAGACTGAGCATAGTGAGTGGGTTAGTTTGGTTAGTCTGATTCTACTAGCTGTCAGTCAATGAGAGGTTAGTGGTTTGTTTCACAGGGCGAACATTACTGCAAATGCGACAATTTGCTGTAAAACACGACCCCACAGAAAGATGGTGGAAGTGATTCCCAACTGCACAATGAAACCAACAAACAACGGCGTTTCCCAAATGAGCGAGGAGGCAGGAGTTGGAAGCGTCTCTTACCTGTGGCCGATTCCTGCATCTTTTCCCTCTTCCGCTTCTTCTTCTTTCCCTAAAAAATATACAGAGGAACGCATAAAGTGTGGCTCCAGCACTCACGCTCACTAGACCACTCTTGATATCCTGCTGCTGACTGCCATGTTCACTCATCCCCTGCTGGGCATCCAACCAGCATCAACCCAGACTCTGGACTCCACCACAAACTGCGACACTGAGGGACGGGCCGATGGAGAGCCGGATCTCGTATCAAGTGTGCTCTACCTCCTCTCGACCGCTTTTCCATAGTCTTCAGGCCTGTTGAAGTGTGGCCATTCCCGGCCGAGTGAAAGTTCTGCTGTTTTGACAGCTCTGTGTCTAGCTTTGAAGTCCCCCCCCCCCTTGTATTTTTTAAATGACAAACATTAACATGAAGTGCAATTAAAAACGCTCACTGCAATTAGGCTGTGAAGAGTAGCACTCGTTTTTCCAGTGAGGTGGTGGGAGTGCGTAAGGATTTTTTAGCTTATGCTAAATCCCCAGGGGGGAGACTATAGGTATAGATAGCAGTGTAGAGTCGTTTTAGTCAAATATGAGCAGCACTTTGGTTTCCTGCTGCAAAGTCTGCTAATCCACTTATTCATGAGCTAATCTGCCTTCTACTGCCGCGGCAGACAGGGAAGAAGAGAAGCTGAGTGAGTGTGGATGAGAGAAAGGGTGGGGAGAGATAGGAGGGGGTGCACGGCAAAACTATGAATGATACGCGATTTTTCCACGCCAGTGTGTTGCCTATTTTGGGTGTTTCCAGGCACGATGCTCTGTCTGTAATACTGTGATTGTGGGAGCGGTCACAGAATAACTAATTCCAGAAGGATACACCATCTACTTTGCACTACCCATTATCGTTACCTTCGTCGTGTGCCACATAGAAAGCCATTCCTCTAACCCCCTTCTAAACATCGAAACTACTGAGAAAACAGGAAATTCAACAGGATCCGGCCCAAATGTCACCAATGCAGTGATGATGCGCATCTTTAACTCTGCTGTGCTTCACTGGGAGCAGAGCTATGAACAATCCCCCGCCCCACACACACACACACCCCACCTCAGCGAGGCATTTTGGCAGTGGAGCCGTGGAGGCAGAAGGAGGAGGGATGCTGTCGGTGTCCGAGGGGAGGCAGATAAACACCACAAAGCACTTTGGTGGTGGAGTGAATGTGAGTGCTGGAGCCACACTTTTAAATAAAGGCTGGTGCTCTCTCTCTCTCCCAAACACACACACTCACAAAGATTCATACACGTCACACGTCACTCAATAACACATTTAGACTCTCATCCAGCAGCACGTAAGTACACATAAATGCTGTAACAATAAACACAGGCTTCATCCTAAAAATCCAGCTGAACCGCCCAGATTCACAAACAAAAAAACAAAACAAACAAAAAAACGGGCAGCTGGGGGAGCAGAGGTTGCTACTGCTGAACGCCGCATGTATAATCCAGCCTCCTCGACTCAGTCTAACAGTTGCTTTCTACATCCGAAGCCGATATGGAACATCAAAGAGCGCCGTAACCATTACCAGGCAATTTTCACTCACAATGGCAATAATAGTGTCCGTGGTACTGCAATCCATTTTAGTGTGGATGGCACTATAACAGTGAATCACAGTGTTATGAATTACACATTAGGCTGAAACAAAGGGTCTACAAATGGACCCCATTAGCATGGAGGAGGACTGGTGCAAATTAGTGTGTTGGTGTGTGTGTGTGTCATTCCTGTGTGGCATTTTAAGAGCAAGTCATGCAACGCTGACATAAAGAAACATGAATCAACACAAACACATTCGCACATGCACGCACACGCACCTCTGTCAGTCTGTTCTGTTGATACTCACATAGTTGTCTCGAGCGGACCAGCCTGGGTAGAGCTGCATGTGGAGCTGCCGTTCCTTGCGGGCTAACTCGTAATACTTAGCTTGCTCTTCTCGAGATAAAGCATGCCACTGTTTCAGTACAAAGGAGATTAAGGGGGAGGAAAAAAAAATAGCATACAGTCAATTACTGGCATGCACTTGCATGTTCTCTGCGTAGAGGCGTGCGCTGGTGTTTTGGTATAGAAGGGGGAAAAAACTTTTCAACTTCCACATGTGTATAAAAGGAAAAAAAAGCGGGGGGGATGAAAGACACAAAGAAGAAGGGGGGGGGGGGGGACATGATGAAGAGATTAACATGCGCAAGAGTGAGAGAAAGAGAGAAAAAAGTAGGGGAGAGGGGGGTGGAGACAAGAAGGGGGGGGGGGACTTTGATTTCTTATGAAAACACTGCTTCCAATTTAGCAGTGCTTTTTATTCAAACTATGTCAGCAAGCAATTACCCTACGCAGGCCACAAACTAGGCTTTGCTGTGGCTGGCTGCCTCAACCGCCAGGCCTATTCGTTAAGGCTTTTAACATGGCTCTGTGGTTCCATTCTTTTCCCAATCCTCAAAAGGAACAAATTTTGTCATTTCCAACCGTGCCATTATACAGGCATATTTTATTAAAGCCAATCTGATTAAATGTCAGTTAGACAGGCAGCCCATGTCTGTGCTGTTGAAAGACAGAGAGAGGTGGGTGTGGGGCTTTAGGGGGAAAGTGGAAGTAATTGGCTTGAGTATCATCAGGGCAATAATCACAACCAGTTTATAAAGACTGCTAATAAAGGGGAGAAATCATTGCACTTTTTCAGCTAATCGAGCAGCCTCCTCAGAGAACATGACATAAACTATGATCTCACCGCGATTCAGCAAAGATAAACTCGGGGGAAAAAAAGAAAGAAAGCTAGAGATCGGCGTATAGGTATACTGCGCGACCCACCCTTCGTCCCAGGATCTGATTGATGGCGGCGCTCTCCTTCAGCGTGCACTCGGCAACCACGTTCGCACGCATCTCTTTCATGTAGAGCATGAAGGCGTTTAGCGGCTTTTTGATGTGCGGTCTTTTGGGCTCCTGCTCCTTTCTCTGTTCGTGCTGCGGCTTCCTGTAGAGAAACGGAATACGACAACAAAGTGGAGGAGGTGAGAAAGAGAAAACACTAAAGAAGTTAGAAAATAAGCAAAATAAATTCAAGTCCAAAGCAACGGGAGAAGGAAATTATGTTGCCGCCGTGGCGACAAAAGCAGCCAGGGTCTGGCTGCACTCAACCAATGGCGAGGCAGCGTGAGAGGGGCTGCCACGCCATGGGCCCCGGCCTCTTTAATCATGTGCAGTTGTATAGTTGCAGCCCTTCATGCAGAGAGATTACTTCACCAGTAATGGCAACCAAACTTTCTTGTCCGCAGCACACTGGTGAATACTTAAAACCAAATGCTCTCGCGCTAAAAGAAAACACTGCTCGACTTACTTTCTAACAACCTTTTTGATACCAGTACAGTCTTGGTAGGAGGATGTCCATGAATAATGGAAATATCAGTGATAACCACTTCAGGGCTCTTACAGCACTTCCCACTGCACACGCTGGGGATGTGAATTCTTAGCACTAATCTAGGACCTGTATCTGTTGTCAGCTAAGAGTGTTGTGATCCCAGAGGCCAAATGAAGCATAGGCCTGTTATCAGCAGAGCGTGGGCCCTCGCCATTTATCTGCTCACATCAAGAGAAAGAGAACAAGGCATTGGGAGAGGGTTTGCTGAGCATCGCCCTCCTGTAGCGAGTGGAGGAGAACACAAATACCTGGAAGTTTGTTGTGTCAAAAAATGCTGATAGAGGAGTGACAGCACAAGCTTTAAGGTAATATTTTTTGTGTTTGCAGGACTCACATGTGCATGATGTCACCGTCATGAGGCGGCTCCTGTTTGACCTGTGGGTTGACAATGGCCGGGTGAGGGATTCCTGTGGCGTGAGGACCTGGGGGACCTGGCACCATGTGGTGCGGGAACCTGCAATAACAGGACATTTTGATTATTAAAGACTAAGAAGAGGATCAGAGGAGTGGAAAATATCTTCCAAATGGCATTAAAGTGAGAAAAAAAGACTGGGAACTGTTTTATATGACTTTAGAAATTGTCACACACGCCATACGCATGACTGCATATGGCGTGTGTGACAATTGCATGACTATAGCCAATGATTGGTTACGCCTCAAGAACAAGCGTCTCTTTCACCGTGTTTTTACGCTTGTCACATTTCAGAATTTGTGGTTAGATCTCACTTTTTAACTTTTCTATCAATAGTTTATAATATTGTTAGATTTTAACAACATGGTTATAGCTTCTCTTTAATGAATGAATAAAAAAATTAAAGTGAAGTGTCAAACAACATGGTTCTAAAGTGCAAATGCACCACTCCCTCAGTCTAACAGCCTTGTTGCTAGGTATAGACTCTGCCTAGGAAACCAAAAATTAGTGGGTGTAGAAAAACAGGGATTTGTTTTTAAATAAAACAGCCGCCTGTCCTTAGCCTAACTCCTTAAATCAAAAGTGAGTTAGTCAGATTTACAAGGGCATGAGGAGGAAAGGTGGTGGAGACTTCTGGTCATGTGTGATCAAGTGTCCTGCTCGTGGACGTTACATCTGTCTTCACTCAGTGTTTGCCCTAAAGCCAGCAGAGTAAGAGATAGTGAGGAAAGTGAGAGAGATATGTTTGGGGGATAGGGAAAAAAAGCACAGGAAGTAACAAGGATGCAGTGGAACAGGACTAAAGAAAAGCACTTGAAGTAAGTCTCAGAAAGAAAGAAAGAGAGAGAAGCGCTTCCAGAAAGCTTTGATAATGGTTAAGCAGCCATATGGCTATGCAGGGGCACGAATGCGGTGATGTATTTGACATGTGCTGGGCACACAGTCGAGTGGTGTGGCTGTGGCCACAGCAGCGCAGCACAAACCACCGGAGGCGGACCTCCCAGAGGAAGCTGCTGTTCCAGGCCAGTACTTCTCTATTCAGTACACAAAGCCGGTACAGTGTCACTGTCCATAAGATGTAAAAACGCTGCATAGTTTCTGGTCCCTTTTTGCATGAATCAGTCGTGCAGGCTTTTGCTTTAATCTGCCTGTGACTCACCATCCCAGCTGTGATGTGAGCTGCCCCACTCCTCCAGGAGACAAGGAGTAGAAGTTGGGCATGTCTGGTCCGGGGTGATGCCTGGGCATTCCTGGTCAAAGAAAAGAAGAAAAAAAAAGCAACACACAACTATTAGATAGGCAGAATGCAGATAAGGAGGAAACAGCGCAAGCAGCAGGTTAGCAAAAATAAAATAATAATAAAAAAATCCCTTACAGACATATTTTAGCGATTATTCAAGAAGTGTGTGTGTGTGTGTGTGTGTGTGTGTGTGTGTGTGTGTGTGTGTGTGTAAAGTTGGGATTATCATCGGGTTTGCATATTCCTCAGTCATACATTCTGGTTAAAGTCATGAACTGCCAGTTTCGGAACAGGGCACACACCGGGGCATCAGCATGGCTTCTTGACCTCACATTATCAACCCGTGAAAGGGGCGGATAATATTTTCCCCGCTTAAGCTCGACTCCTTCCAGTGTGTTTCAGCATCTTTAAGCTGGATAATTGAGGCTTCATCTTTATGACAGAGGCTGTGGCTCTCCCTGTAGACACAGGATTGACACAGACTAGCTGTCTGTGGATCTCCAGGACTAAGCTCCTCTATCTCCAGCTCGCCTGCTCTTGTTGGGCTTCAAGGTCAAGGGGTATCTTTCTGTGAGAAGACTTAGTGAGAAATGGGCTGTGGGGCGACGAACGTTTAACATCTGTAAGGTCTCATGGTTTTTTGTCTTAACACACATTTTTCCCCCCTTCTTATTTCACAGTTGTGCAAGTAACAATAAAAGTCGGAAGATATCAGCAAATACTGTTTATACACAGGCAACTGGAATGTGCCTACATGTGTGCTCACGCAGACACACACACAAAGAAAAGAGGGCAAATGCCTCCAGATTAACACCATTTTCTAATCCCTGCTGGAGCCAGCCTTTTCTCCCTGCCTCTATCTTTTCTCTTCCTCCTTCTCTCTCTCTCCAGGCTGGGGTCTGAAGGGGGCCTCCCTCCTCAGAGAGGCTGGCCGAGTGGGAGGCTTATATCTCCAAAGCCAGTGTAGCAACGCTGGATTCATAGCACGGATAGCGCTACTCCCCTGCCTACTAATCCACCACCTAACACTCCTTTAGGGCTCTCCTGAGGGCAGAAGAGAAGCAGGCGATGGCTGAAGCAGCAGGGGAAGAAGAGAGCGCCCCGGCGTGTTAACCTTGTCACTCACACCCCTAAGGTGCCTAATTACTCACTCCCCCCTTTTCAGTTCCCGTTGACATCCCGACAAAGCTTCACGCTCCCGTTTCCACTCTGAACATGTGACACCGATGTGACTGTCACCATAAAAAAACACAAACAAACAAACAAAAAAGAGGATTAAAAAAAGTATTCACTAATCAAATTCATGCTATATGTCTTTACCCCCCCACCCCACCCCAGACAAACCTCCCACTACCCTCCCCTCCGCTCGACCTTCCATCCCTCATTGCAGGCCTTGTGCATATTAGGGCTCATAATGAGAAAATCCATGATTGTTTTTCATAATTAACGAGCAGATCAAAGTCTGAGCCCACTAAGGAGTGCAGAGCGGCAAATGGTCGATATGTGTGAGAGAGAGAGGAAGAGACAGAGAGAGAGAGGAAGAAAAAAAGAGAATAAGAGAGATTTCGTTTTAAGCATTTTGGCTTAGCTCTTCTGATATCCACACACATGAATATGCCTAGGGAAATCATTTGCTGCTAATTCTGCAACCAGATCGCTTGGACATGGATTTCTGTTGGGCTGCGGGTGCAAAAAGATCAAATAGCACGAAAAAAAAAAAAGAAGGAGAAGAAGGACCTCCAGGGCTCCTTTCAGCTCTTGATTGTCAGAGACCCAACGTGAACAGTGAAACGGGTGTGAAGCGTTTTTCCTCAGACTGTACAACGTGACAACACAACTGTTAAATCTTCCGTGCCTTCGTTATTTCCTTCTGCTACCTGTTTATCCTCTCCTGCCTCGACAAAACATGTCAGATGTGTGATTTTTCTGACATATGTGGAGCACTGTTTCGTTAAATGTCCCCGCTCCCTTCATCTCTGCTACTCTGTGTACTCCTGTGCTCATTTCCACATTGTTATTTATAGCTGGTCCCTCAGAACCTCCGAGCCTCAACATCATCATCGTCATCATCATCATCGCCCACATCTTGTCTGATCCCTCCTCCTCTTTTTTTTTCCAACTGCCAGCCGCAGGAGAAGAAAGCAGAGAAAAGAGACAAGGTGTGGGACAAAACTGCGGATGGGCCACGTCTTTTTTTGTTTCCTTTCTTCCTTGCATTAGCGAGAAGCTGCCAAAGTCTCCAGCTGTGCAGGGCTGAGGAGCTCGCTCCCAAACGGCTCAGGAGCTCCTCCGCAGCTGTCAGAGCTGCAGCTTGATGTTATAACTGAGAGGCAAAGAGTGCAGAGGGAGAGGGCAGCAGAGCTCAGCGTGCCATCCCACAGGCTGCTTCAAATGAGCTCACACTTTGAGATGATAGGAAGGATGACTGTACTGCGACACTTTTTCCCCCCTCTCTCTCCTGATTCCCGTCTATCCAGACATTTATGCAAAAAAAACCTAAATGCAGTCAGGGTTCATCGATGCCTCCATATCAAGCTGCCATGTAAGCGAATACGGTGCAAAAATCCATTTCAATGTCACATTTTATTGCATTAAGAAGTACTGGTGACCTATAATGTGTCTGTGACGACTTTCTTTATTGTATCCTTCTACAGTTTTCACTCTTTCAGTCAGTAAAAACTTGCTGACAACAAAGTGTTCAGTGCCACAGCAAACCCCGTTTTTTGTGTTCCCTTTTACATAGATATATATAAAGAAACGACCCCTTTTAGTTCCACACAGTGTGATAAAAGGATTTCAAATGTGGGATAAGAACAGCAAATACTGCTGTGGCATTTCTTTAGTGTCTTACCTTGTTTGTTGTTGGCATCCTGGGGGTGATGGCCAGAATGGGACACTGGAGCGAAGTGTTCGTCACTGTACGTGATCAGGGGGGTGAGCGGGTGGACTGCATGAGACGGCTGCACCACGGGGACTTTGTTGGACTGTGGAGAAAAATGCAAGAAGATTTACTTTTTTATTTTTTAAATTCTGTGAAAAGCTGATGCCTTTTGTGTTATTCCATCTGAAAAAGGGGCCCTGATCCCTCACACATGATTCATAGAGTACAGGTGGTCTTGCTCTGCAGCAGCACAATGCCTTCTTGACTTTCATTGTATGGTCAAGAAGTTACTATACATATATATTTTTAAAAAACATTTCTTGAATTTCTTCTCTCTTTACTAGGCTGGGCACAGCAGTTCAAAACTTTGTTTAGCCTAGGTCAGCAGGTTTGAAAATCCCCACATCCCCCGAAGGAGGAAAAAAAAAAAGAAGAAGAAACAAGTCAAAAGAGGTGCGCGAGCATGTCTGAGACAGAAAAGGGGAGAAAGATGCAAACAGAGGTGGAGCGAATAGAAGCGGGCAAGCGATAGAGCAAAGGGAAGGGAGAGAAAAGAGAGACTTGCAGGGTAGAGTCAGAGCAGAGGTCTTAGGCGGGAGATCAAAGGCAGTCATTAGCTGGTGAATAAGGGGAGTTCATTACAGACCAAGAGCCGGGGGAAGAAGAGATGAGGGATGGAGGAGGAGGAGAAAGGTGGGTGGGGTGGGGGTTCTGGCTATGGGGAGAGAGCGTGAGTGAGACAGATGTCTGCAGCGGTACTTAATGCAGGGGTAATCACGTCAACAGTGGCCTGGCCACAGACCCCTCATCCCAGGCTGACTCAGAGAGACGGAGAGCGAGAGAAAGAGAGAGAGCTTCCTCTGGAAAACTAAAATAGATCGAACCAGGCCCGAAAACCCCCCCAACCCCCAGCCAACAGTGCTTACATGCTTCAGCTGCACTGAACACATGGTAATGCTTAGCCATGCTAAATCTACTATTTACAGTCTGAGCCCAGAGCTGAGCTGAAGTCAAAATATCACCTCCACAGGATATATGGCTAATCGGGAGAGACGGCGGTGCACCGATGGGTGAGACGCCACTTACATCGGGCGGCTGCCAATGAGCTCTCCCGAGTTTTTAGGAAACTCTAATCGATTTTATTCCCAGAAACAGTCACATGATTAGCAGCGTTGTTAAAGATACCCATCTAAATTTAGGATAAGAATCAAATTATGACAGGATGATAATAATAAATGGACTGTTCTTTATTAGCCCTCGCTTTGTTGTCTATGACATGTGTGCCAAGGTGACATTCCTGCAGTGCTAAGTGGTGACTGGTGCCCCGCCTCACCCACTTACGCACACACAGAAAAACTCCTCGGACACAGGGGTGGCTGGAATGTCTGAGTTTTTCTGAACCTCTCGCAGACTGGCACCAGCTTCAACTTAAGAACCCCCTCCGTCCTCCCCCCATCTCACCACCTTCTGGGAATGTCCTCAAAGAGCAGTACGTGTGGTATGTGTGTGCACGTGTCCAGCTGCATGAACCATCATTCTCATCAGGGTCCCAAATCATGCCGGGAATCTTATCTCCTCAGGCCAATTCAGTTCCCGGTTTGGAGACGGGGTGTTACGGCACCATAAAGCACAGGTTGCACTGCACATGTGGTAAAGTTTGTTCTCACACAAGAGAAGCCCTGCCTGAAAACTAAGCCAAGGATGTAGAGGTGTAATTTTCTCACACCAGCCCAGGTGTGTTGCATTCCCTGGTCAACAAAGAGCCAAAGGTTAGTGTCCAGCCTCATCTTTAAGAAGGTTAGGCTTATTAGCAAGGCTGCTAAGCCTAAAAAGAGGGGACTAACTAGGCCTACAGTGGCTGAGACATGCCTCCACCAGGGGCTAAATGACAGCATTCTCACACATATTATTTTACGCCTCTCCACTCCCATTTGTTACGGTGTGGGAATGAGATAAGAACCTGGAATGCTATCGTTAAAACCTGCTATGCTCCCCAATATTGAAAGAAAAGCCAGCTGGAAACAAAAAAAAAGTTCTCATGTTTGTGTGTACACATAGAACTACAATAAAAACAAACAAACATTTAAAACAATATTTTAAAGCAGGGCGACTAACTTCTTAGCACCTAAGAAAGCTTGAGTTTTACTGCCACAGTGGAGAAGCCCTCTTTTGTGCTCTTCCCAGTTACAGCTGTCAAATCCCATTTTTCTCAACTTCTTAATAAACTGCTTCCATTGTGGGGAAGAAAAAAAAAGATCCACCAGGGAAAAACCTGCAGGCCTTTGTGACCAATAGCAAATTTATGCCCGTTTAGGGTGGACACTTACGCAAATTGCATGGCCTAACTGTAGTTTACTTTAGAAAAGGAAAGGAAATAAATTGTCCGTCAGGCTTCCAACAGCTTCATTATACTCTAGATATACATAAAATTTGATTGTGCAAACCGTATCAGGGTCAAGCCAAATCCTGGTTTAGATAGTTTTTTATTTGATTACATGCAAAGAGGTATTGCTGGGGCAACATTTTACCACCATAAATTAAAAAAGAAAAAAGAAAAAACAACATTAAAAACTGACACCAGTAACAATTTACTGAAAAAAGGAGCTGGAGACACCCAACTCCTGACAACAGCCATGAGGGTCATGCCATGTCCTAATCTGATTCCTTCTCATACCCTACATACCCAGCCCTACTGGCTGCAGCAGTAGCGACACTGTTGCAATGGGGGCATCCATATTGGAGGTCCCTTTTATTGTACAGGAGAAATAATAGGCTTAAGATCTTTCTATTCATATTTTTCAGGCAGAGTGAAAGAAGAGAGGCGGCGAGGATTGAAAAGAAAAACGTTCCATTTGGAATTTCATATCCAGGCTTGGCCGGCCCTTTAAAAAAAAAAAAAAACCCTTCAGATGTGGTTTTAAGAGAAATTCATTGTGCGGAACTGGAGCTGGCAGGAAGCCCTCCATGGAGGAGACACTCCAGTGTGTTTCAGCAAGGGGAGCCATCTGAAATTGGGGGTGGGGAAGAAAAAATGGGACGTTTCACTTTTGTTTTGTTTTTGTTGGGGTTGTTTTTTTTGTCCCCAACCCTCCTGCCTTGATTTTTCTGACGACACGCCGACGTCTGTGATCTTGTATTCTGTCATATTCCACCAACATCGTGTCACGGTCGGTAAAACAAGAATTTGCACATTTATACATGTGTCTACGTGGTGTACGGAACAGCCATCCCTGCAATATTGCCTTTTTAAAGCATCTCTCTCCCCTCACAGCACAGCTTTTGTACTCCACTCAATTATACCACTTCTGCAGAGTGGAGTGGAAAAAAGGGAAAGCGGGAATTTTATAATAATCACTTCCCACTTCTGTAATTTATATGCAATGAGGACTCTCTGCGCCTGCAGCTACAATCAAGTGTGTAGAAACCGTGTGAGGTGTTTCACAAACAGCTGGGGAGATGTCAGCTCAAACGGCGGCTATGGATTCTCATGCTGCTAAGTCTATTCGCTGAGAAGCCCTCCTCACCACAAAACCCAACCTCACCTCGCAGGATTTTCTGCACTCTGGAGGGAAAGGGTTTACAGGTGAGGGCCGAGGATGTGAATGAAACAAAGAGAGAAAATGCAACATGGACTGGCCTGTAATTATAAGACCCATCAACAAAGATTTGCAGGAAAATCTTCACTTAAAAAGTTTTTAAAAGAAGAACATATGATTCTCAGCATAAGTGAATCACAGGTCCTCCACACCCTCCTTTGACTGTTTAAGTACATTTTTAGCTACTGTTTCCATTGATAATGGGCTCAAAGAAGAAGACGAGATTACAGACACAAAGGCTCTGTAAATGTCAGTAGTTGGGAGTATGAAGCGAGGGTGTGTCCACTACTGAAATCCTACAGAGTCGCCCTCATAACCAGGTGTTCACTCTCAGGTGTGTTTGGTGCGCAAGCTGTGCAACCTTTACCCAACAAAAGTGAGCAAACATTCTCCTGTAGTAGCTTTACAGCATGGGAATGAAAAGGCACTGTACCTCCCCCTTGTACCAAAAAAAGGAAAGAAAAAAAAAAAATCAGCAGAGACCAACCTGAGGAAGCTTAAGTAAATAACCAATTACCATTCGCAGAGCAGGTTGAACCCCACCAGCTTTGAGAGGAGCGCTAAAAATGGGATGTTTTATTGGCAGGATGGCCCCTTGGCCAAGGGGCTTAATGTAACGAAACCCAATTAATGGAGAAGAAAGCCGGGCCGGCGGCAAGTGAAGGAGCGCCACGTGCCGAGGGTAATGAGACGAACAAGCGAAGCTAACCACAGGGACAGCAGCAGAGGAGGCTACGAATAATAAGAAAAGCATACCCCAGAGAGAAGTATACATCTGCGATGCCCTCCCAAATGTCTCCTTGCCCTCTCCTCATTATTCCAATCAAAAAATTCAGGTATTCTCTCTTAGCGCTATTGAGGGTTCCTGTAGTTGAAGACATGCAGTGAGACTGAAGGCAGTAGCCAGTTACTAAAAATAAAGAGGAGGTATATAAAGAGCAACCCAAACTTGCAGCTGAGTGGAGTTTAGTGCAAAAATAGCCACGCTCCATATGTTCAATTTCATGGCTTTAGTGGCCAAGCTTCAGCGTAAATTATCAGGCAAGGAAACTTGTCATGCTGCCCTCTAAATACCGACACTGCACCCACAGACATGACAGCTATAGCTGATGTCAAACACTTTAAGTAACCCCACCTACACACACGCACACACACACACACACACGCGCGCGCCCGTGCGCACACATGCACCAACGACGTGCGTTAAAATATTTCAAGCTACATGAAGGTTGTGTTAACCACACATTTAATAACTTAAATACACAAACGCTGCACGTGAACACAAAAGAGCTGTTAACAGCCAAGTGTCTCTTTCCTCACCGCGTCAGAATAGGACGAGATGGATTACCCATCATCCCTCAGCTGGCATGAAGAGCGTGCGCTCCGAGCAAACCAATCGCGGCTGGCTCTCGCGCTGACATTCTCAACGAGCAAAGATGATAATTTGTGTGAAATGTGCCTGCCTTACATGAAAAGACTTTATCCGCTTTTTAAAGTGTTCAACTCT